AGTTGGCGTGATGATTGCTCAGGTACCTGGCTCATCGGCCTGCGCGTTCCGTGATTGGCTGATTGTTTTGGCCAACCCCTGTCTCAACACCCTATGTGGGTTGGGGAGGTCAGTGCACTAGGGGTCGGTAACCCATGACTCAAACAACCCGCGGCTCACGCGCTTATCACCTCTGACGAGAATTTCAACCTCATAAAACTTGACTCCATGGCCGTGTCTTGCTGAATGAACCGTGACCCGAGAATTGGTGCCCAGTAAGGCAAGTGGCCTGGCGCTAGATCCTACGAAACTTAGATTTAGGTTTAAATCTAGGGTTTGGGTTAGTTAGAATTAGTGTTAAGGTTTAGTTTAGTAGTCTGGAACATTAACTATTGCTAAGTTGAGCAAGTCAGGTTAAATCTTTAACGTCTACTGTGTCATACTGGAGAGCAAGGTATAATATGGGAGCTTTTCGCTGACAAAAAATCATTTTCTTCCAACAGTTAGAGGTAAATAGAATTATTTTTTAATCCATTCGTTCCTAGAAGATGCGTGCTGATTGGGAAGATGACTATGCTCTCAAATCATGAGCGTTAATTAACTCTCCGAACCTGTGGTCATGTGTTGAGTCATTTACTTGTGTTCTTTAGGTCTGAACATTCTGATTTATAGAAGTGTGTCGTAATAAATTACTTTGGACTTAGGTCCTGTTCATTAACTAAATATTCCCGAAAAACCGACTGAAAACATCTGAAAGATTTTTTTTCCGAAATAGTACTCAGCAGACGCAACCCCCTTCCAAATGGTTGTGCTCTTGAAAGCATGTGTCTTGCAGGTTTCTCGATGAAAGGCAGATAAAATGGTATTCATAAGTGGCAGGCGTGTTTAAGAAGTGTTTTGTTATCGAAACATGAATGCAGTCAAATCGGTTACTGTGTATAAATTGCAGTTTTTTGGTTTTGCATTCAAATTACTCAGTACAATAATAACATTTTGCTTGTAGCTTACGTCCACGTTAATAATAGCAGAAATTTGCGATTACAACATTAAGAGGCCAACGATTTCCGTAGAAGACAGTTGAACGATATCATTTAGTTAATATAAAAACCCACAATTCTGAATCTCAGCCTAAACATGCTACACTAATAACGTATTTCGGCAACTAACCATCTAAGTTCTCTCAAAGCCTAAGCCTGGAATGTGTGCGATCTCTTTCAAAAGTAGTTTTTCTTCAATAATTCGAGGCTACATTTAAGCTTTTATGTAGCAGTTGAGATAAAATCGGACGGTTTCAGTGGTCTCATCCTAAGACCATTTCTACAAGCTTCTACGATTAAAACCATTCAAGGGCTATTCGATTAATCTCTTGTTTTTGACGTCAGTTGGGTTTTGTAAACTCCTAATTGATTAAGCAAGGTAGTCCACACCATGTTCAATAGTCCTTTGTGGCCAGCGTATTGCACAAACAAGTCAGATACTATGTGCGAACGGTTGGATTGTAGGATATTTGATAACATTTAAAACGCTTATTGAAAAACAATAAGTAGCAGGTTCTTAAACAATATATATATATTCATTCTCGGTCCAGAGGGGCGACCAAACGCCTGAAACTTACTCAGACACCGAAGAAATTATGGAGACCAGACGGCAAAACCAATTTGCGACTAGTAAAAGTAAGCCGTATGATGCGCGAAGAGCACGTACAACGGACGCTTCCGAAGATGATGAGGAGAACGAGGAAACGGTTGTTGACGACGAGGATGACGAGGATGACGATGAAGATGAGGAGGACGAAGATGAAGACGAAAGTGAGGAGGAGGAGGCAGACGAGGATGAGGAGGAGTATGATGAAGATGATAACGACGAGGATGATGATGAGGTGACTGAAGATACTGAAGAAAGCGCACCGGCAGGTGCCGGCGGTAGAAGGAACCTCGGCAGTTCAAAAACCTCCTCGGGCCCTCTGTACAAACCAGCCGCTGCCCCTCTGAAACCAGCCCTAAAACATTCTTCGAAACCGGTTTATGCAGGAAGATAAAACACTGTGCGTGTGTCTTACTTGACCGAATCACTCCGTTGCCCATCTGCTCCCTCGGTTCGCGACTACATACACATTGAATCAGGTTTTTCAGTAATAATCGCACCTTCTGCTGATCTGCACAATAAACCTCCTGCTGCCAACCTAAACGGCAGTTCCTCTGCCCCCTGGCCGTTTGTTACATTTTTTTGACGAAATCCGTTATTGCGTAGGATTGTGATTTCACTCCCCACAGAGAGCGAGAAGAATCCAATTTTTTTTATTTATAGTATAATATTATTATTACAGTCGTACAGCCGTCGGCATGTTTGCCCGAACTTTGAAACTTCCTGCTTCAAGTGCCATTATATGTGCAAGGCAATTCTAATAATATCCGTGCTATACGGCGCTTTCTTTTATTAAATAATTATTTAGGACGTTCACTGTCATAGCTTTCTAACACAAAAACTAAATTTGGTTAATTGGAGTAGGAAAG